GAGAGAGAGAGAGAGAGAGAGAGAGAGCATACATGTGCACAAGGGCAGGCCTTTTCCTTTGATAAGTCCCACAAGTAGTGGTAGGGCCAAATCCTGTTCACCTTACTCATTTGAGTGGTTAAAGTGAACAGATACGGCCCATCGTCATTTCCCTTGCAGACAGGAGCACAATGCCTAATCAGTTTGTTTGACATCTAACTACAAGGTTTAAAAGATGTTTTTGGATGCTTGTGGGATTTTTTTTTTTTGGTCAAGTCGAAAGAGTACCTTTAAAAAAAACAAACCTGTGCACACAGATTGACACATGACACCAGGAACATTAAAAGGTTTTCTGCTCTCCTTTAAAAATGTAGTTTAATTCAAACAAAACAAATATAGACCCTCCCTACCTCCTCCTACTTGAACTGATGTCCTAAAAATGGAGAGCCTAGGTGCAGACTTTAATAGATACAGGGCCTACCTAGCGCACTTGTTTGTGTGAGAAAGCCACTGCTCCATTGATTTCTGCTGCTTTTGGCAACTCTCAACACACTGCATAGTATAAAGGCCAGTAAATCATGCCATTTATACCACTTCAAAACCATCAAAAAAATACAATCCCACACCCTTATATAAGTGTTTTTAATGGAATTGATACGTCTTTTTCTTGTCAATGACTGAAAAGAAGAACTTGGAATTTGTGAATAAGAAAATTACAACTGACTAGATAATTACAGTATTCCTTACAAATGCACAATATTAGCAATTTTAACAAATATTTATTGCTGAAGACCATCATCTCTGCTCACTGAAATATAAATAGGGCCCTACCAAATTCATGGCCATGAAAAACACATCACGGACAGTGAAATCTGGTCTCCCCCTGTGAAAACTGGTCTTTTGTGTGCCTTTACCCTATACTGTACAGCAGTGGTTCTCAAACTAGGGCCGCCGCTTGTTCAGGGAAAGCCCCTGGCGGTCCGAGCCAGTTTGTTTACCTGCATCCACAGGTTCGGCCGATCGCGGCTCCCACTGGCCGCGGTTCGCCGCTCCAAGCCAATGGGGGCTGCAGGAAGCGGCGCAGGCCGAGGGACATGCTGGCCACCCTTCCCGCAGCCCCCATTGGCCTGGAGCGGCAGGTAAACAAACTGGCCTGGCCCTCCAGGGGCTTTCCCTGAACAAGCGGCAGCCCTAGCTTGAGAACCACTGCTGTACAGATTTCACGGAGGAGACCAGCATTTCTCAAATTGGGGGCTCTGACCCAAAAGGGAGTTGCAGAGGGGTCACAAGTTTATTTTAGGGG